TAGGTGGGGCAAGAGCCTGCAGCGGAGTAGACAGGGGCCTGGGAGCATAGCCCCTGTGAGTGTTTGAAAAGGTTTCACTCCACACAGGGTCTGGTGCATCTGCCTTCCACACTCTTTGAGTAGAAACAGTGGCTGTTAATTAGTAAAGCAGGAAATCTTCAGTTGAGAATAAGGGGACCCCTCGGTTTACCCTGCCAGCCCTGGGTCCTGTCTGACTGGTGCGTGGCCTCACACCACAGGCTGCCCTGTCCTCCCAGGGACAGCAGAGCAGCCAGGTCCCCTGCACATGGAATTAAGAGGTCTGAGTTCACCTCCAAATTTTTTCTGTGTGATTTTCAATTAACTACATTTATTTCTCAGTCTTTTTCCATTCCACATATATAATACCAACCCTCTATACCCACCAGTGATTAATAACTACTGTGTAAATCATTCCTTCATTTGTTTACATGGGAGCAAACTGGGGCATAGCAAGATTCCACACTAACAATAAGGGTTATTAGTATCCTTATTTTACATAGGAAAAAATTTGGGATCAGAGAGGTTAAGTAATTTGCCCAAGGACACACAGTTAGGGACTGTGCTGACTGACAGACTGACTCCACTGCCCATGTGTTGACATGGTCTTGAGTGAATTAGTAGCACAGGCCAGACTAGAAACCAAGACTTTCAGCATCCATTCCAAAGCCCTTTTCAGTCACTATACTGCTTCCCTCCCTGGGATGAACTGAACATCATGTCACCTCCTTATATACCTCTGTGCAAACATTGTGTGTATGTTATTTGTATGTGCTGAAGAAGTGGTCACCAAGGGAGCTGCTGTGAGACATAGAACCATCGGGTTCTAACCCCAGTAACAGCTCCAAATCTGATTTTCTTCAGATGGCTCTGATCATGCATGCTTTTTAGTTCCTAGCCTCTAACACGTCAGCTAGAGTGAAACACGTCTTCTGTAGCACAACCACCTTCCTGCAAAATCAATCCTCTAGCTGAAAGCTGAAGCAGTCCTCTCCCAAGGGAATCCCACAGCTCATGTGGCACTGATGGTTGTCTGCACAGTGGCAGTGAGAGCATCACTGAAGGGGCAACAAACAGCTCCTGGTCAGAGCATCACCACATCTGCCTCCCTGAAGTTTACTCTTGGGCATTTGTTGGTTGCTTCCGTACTTTCCTTTCCCCTTTTTAGACAATGAAAGCCTGATGCTAACTAGGTGAAAATGCTCTTTCCTCATTCTTGACAAGTGCTTTGAGTGGAGTCAACCACACCCAAGCTCCAGGATAGACCTGCTCACTTAGGCTGATCAATTAGCAGGAAGTGGTTCAGGCAGCGACCAGTAACACAGACCTGGGCTGAACAGAGTACTCCCCTTGCTCTAGTGATGGGTTTAAATATGGGCCTTATACCCACACTGGTCATAACCAAGGAGCTCTCCCAGCTATTGCTGAGAAAACAAACACAGAGACTCTTCCTTCCCTAGACAACGTGGTGAGAGGGTGACAGTCTTGTGGCAGTGGCGGCCACTTGTCACCATCAGGGGACCATCTGGAGCGGCCACAAGAACTTTAGAGTCTGAGGGTAAACTTGAGCCTGTAGAAAACAGAAAGAAATACAGAGAGAACCTGGGTCCTTGGAGACATGGCTGAGTCACTAAATCAAGCCTTCCCTGAAGCTAGCTTTTCTCTTGGCCTTTGAGTTGTGTGAGCCAGGCAAGTCCCTCTGTAGTCTAAGCCAGTTATCTGTCCCTGTAACACAGAGAGCTGTGCTCCTGCCCTTGATGACTGCTTCCATGACTCATTTGTCTGTGCTTCCTCCACATCCGGTAACACTGTGCTTTGCTCAGACTGGGTGCAAAAACGCTTTTGCAAAATAGAAGTACTTCATTATTTATCGCTCAGTTCATCTGTGAAAGCAGCCTGTGTTGCTGTGGTGCTTATAGCTTTCCTTGACACACAAACATTTTTCATAGCTAGACCTGTGCACTAATCTGCCACGTTAAGGCTGAAAATAGTTACAGTTTCCTAATACACACTGAATGTTGCCCTTAGAGAGCAGGTAATAAAAGTACGATTTGTGAGCTGTATCATGCTACCATAAACTGGAATGGTTTTGGTCCTCACCACAGTATTGGAGCCTTTCAGAGAAAGCTGTGAGTTTTTATTTATTTGATGGATTTTTTTTTTTTGCCCTATAAGGAACTGTCATATTAAGAAGAATTCTTTGAGAAAATGCAACCAAGCAGGACCCTATTGTCATCGGCGACCATCTGATATCTGTAATGGTGTTTGGAACTGTTTAGCCGTATGATGGTTTACAGGGTTTTCCTCATGCTCTTGCTGACCAGGGTTGGGCTGGAGAGGAGGGATGCTTGGATGGCCCACCCAAACCCCTCATGGTGCTGCAGGAGGGGAGCATGCTCAGTGCCCTGCTTTTGCCCTCAGTTCCCTGCTCCTGACCCCAGTGCCCTCCCCTTGACCCTCACACCTCAGAAACAGCAGTTGGGTGTTTTGTGCCTCTTGTTGTTTATAACTTGCCTCAACTATGTATGTCTGCAATTGTTTTGACCTCTTGCAGTTTCCTTGTATCCTGTTGTTCAAGCTGCAGGCCTCAGCCTACAGCAGGAGGTCCTAAGCCTCAGCCTGCTAAAAGCGTTTATCAACCTGACTTTAAACTGCACAAGTTTTTCTCTAAGGCTCCTTTCCATGGAGCCCCTCCCCATGCATCCTTTATTCTAGGAACAAGAATATTAAGAGAGTCCCAAAGCCTGAGATGAGTGTCATACCCAGCAGAGGGAAGGGGACCACTGCATCTGCAAAAACAACTTTACAACAATTTGTTACCCTGTATATGATCTCTATGGAAACTAGCTCTGCCCCTTGAACTCTTGAACTTTCACTCTAAAACCCCCTGCCTTCTCTCCCAGCAGGCTCACAGTCTTAGAGGCATTAGCCCACTGTGACCTTCTTTGCCTGGCAAAGAAATAAAGCTGCCTTTTCTACTTTATCCAAAACTCTGTCCTGGAATCTCAATTCAGTAAGCGAGGTACAGAGGCCGTGTTTTGGCAACAAAACTGCTAATTAATTAGAATTTTCTACACAACTAAAGGAATTACATGCTTAGAGTCTATTACTATGGTGGAATCTAAACATACAACCATTTTACTGAACAACATTTTTTTTGTCATGCCCATCTCTGAGGAATAAAAATGTTTTATAGCTTTTTGCATAGAGGGCTGTGATTCTGATGCCTGAAAAATATCTGTGTCACCTTGAGCAGGTCGTTTAACTTCTCCTGGCCAGATCTTCTTCTGTAAGATAGGAGAGTGGATCTCAGGAAAGTTCGTTGTCTTAATAGTCCTCAGCTGCTCACTAGATACAGTTAGCAATTTGCGTATTTAATGGAGTTTCCTTCAGGGGCACTCAGAAATGATTGGAATTGCCGTCGTCCATGAAGTGCATGTCTGGAGCCCGGAGCATGTGGGCTAATAAACGGTGGTGGATGGAAATTTAAACAAGCAGGGAAATGCTGGTCCTATTTGAATCAATCTACCCAAAGAGTTGTTTGACCTGCTACCTTTGGGCTTTACTCTGGCTCAGGAGTGTGTGTGGCCCTCACCTCAGACTGCTTATCTGTTTGCAGAAACGAACCCAGTGGACATGAAATAATAACAGAGATGACAGCTCTCAATTAAGTGCCAGTGTGTATGGCAAAGACCGGGAGGTGCTGAAAGAAGTTAGAGGACTCGGGTATCTTAGAGGGTGGAAAAGGTCAGAGGAGATTTACAGAAGATAAAGGACTTGAGGTGATCCTTAAAAAGAAGGATTTGGAATGTGTGTGTGTGTGTGTGTTTATAGGAAGAAAGTTCAGGGAGTTAAGATAAAATCTAACGTTGGGGCTCTGTTCCGCTAGGCTTCTGCTTCAGTAAGCTGGGACTCCTGCCGCTACTGTATCTTTAAAGCTTTTTTACTGCTGTGGGAAATCACTCCTCACTGGGGTCAGAATATTATGGCCCTGAGTTAAGCCTCAGCCTCGAAGAGTGCACATTTCCTGCATGGCAAGACCACGCATGGGTAACGTAACCTGCATGTTAGGGAGCCAGTAAATAAATCAACCTTCACATTCCAGATCAATCCATCCAGCCTCGGACAGTGACTTAGGGTTTGTACTGCTCGGTTAAATATTAGTCCAGGGTGCCCAAGTCAGCTCACACACTGAGATTTCTGGAGGAAAAGCACATCAGCCATGAGCCTGGTTTGCGATCAGAGCCTGGGCCCCTAAAATGAGATCGCTTGGATGTGAAGCAATAGAAAGATGGGAAAAAACCATGTGAGTGAGAGGCCTCCAAACACAGCAAACCCAGATAAAGTGGAACAACACCCACGATCATTTTAAAAATGAACACAAGTAAACAGAGCTCCTCAAGGACTCATCAGCTTAATTTACATTCTAAGAGAACTGTATCCAGGAGTACTTACAATAATACCAACTTCCTGTCTGAAATGTTCCACAGTGTGTATTCCTTCACTGATACCAAGCTATGACCCTGGCAGGTAGGCCTCATTTCCATTTTAAGATGAACAAAACAGGTATCAGAGAGAAGAAATTCCTTATTCAAAGCTACACAGCTGGAAGGGCGAGTACCTACTGATATAATGAGACTTAAGAACAAACCCAAGGATGCACCTGCCTAACCATGTACCTAGATGCTGTTTGTAATGACAAAATATTGTCCCATGCTGTGGCTTTCTGAAATAAATTACACTACACCTACAGAGTGGGGTACTTGGCATTAAAATCTATTCTGAGGACCTACATCTATTAACATAAAAAGATATTCATGTTATATTGCTGTTAGAAAAGCAGCTCCCAACTTGAATATAGGGCAAGATTCTCTGTTTGAAAATAAAAAGTATTTGCAGAGTAAAAAAAAAAAAAAAACAACAACCCAGTGATACCTACCTATCTATCTATCTATCTATCTATCTCAAAGGATTATTAATAATATGGAATTGTGGATGTTTTTATGCTTTTCTGTTTTCTGTTCTTTTGAATCTTTAAATCTTTCTGGTTTGAGATTTGGCTTCTGAAATAAGAACTAAAAATCAAAACAAAACAAAAAAAGCAAGAAAGAAAAAGACAAACTCTACGGGGAAAGCTAAGAGTTTACCTGTACTAAAATGTTCACTCCACTGATTTGTCTGTGTCTGGAATTTCTACCATTATCACTTTGGGGATGAAAACTATTTCCAAGGACATGAATTCCTGGGTCAGTGCCACTAATTCACACTCTCACATCCCCATGCCTTAGAGAGAGATGAGCCAACTCCAATCTAGAAAAGTCTGGAGCAGGCCTTGCAGGAAATTTTGTGTTTGCCCCGTGCACCGGAGGCAGCTCTCAGGGAGGACAGAGCTTCGCAGCGGGGCCTGAGAAGCACAAACTCTTAGGTCTTAACGAGGAGATGGGGAAGGGAGTCTGGAACAGCAATGTGCTGCTCTTGGTGACAGAGGGAGATGGAGAGAAGCATGAACCCGCAGGGACTGTAGCCATCTCAGCTTCGGTCTGAGTTAGCATTAAGTGTTAATGAAGCCGGTGTAGGTGGAAACATGTCTTCAGCCTGGTGAAGTCAAGCCCTGGGCCTCCATGCAGAACTCTTCAGAGTGTGAGGCAGGGGGATTAACCTCTGTGAGGAAGTGAAGGTGTCAGTGTAGAAGCTGGAATGGGCAGGAGCCAGTGAGCCCTTGAGGAATTAACCCTAAATTAACAATGGAGCCACCTGAGCTTTGGCCTTATTAGTTGACATAGTACCTTCTGTTGTTGTTAAACTAGTTGAATCAAGGGTTTCCGTTACTGGCAACACAAGCTCCCACAGAACCTGCCCACACTTAATGAGCACACACATGTGCCAGGCACTGTCTTGGCTTTGTGCGTGTTACTGCATTCAGGCCTCACACAACCCTATGACAGGCACCTCATTGTCAGCCTCAGTCGGAAAACTAGGAAAGGTGCCCAGGGAGGTTTAGGAATGGACCCAGATTACACAACCGTGGAGAGGCTGGTCTGTGTTCGAATGCCCCATTCTGAGCTGCTCACAGTGGTTCTATTCACCTTTCTCATGTATCATTAGATAACATTAGATCGCTCTGTTAATGTATTTTACCCAAGAGTTATTAGCAAGTGAAAAGAAAGAATTTGAGCCACAGTTCCAAAGCACCTTCTGTCTTTCTTGCAGTCTGGTCTCCTCTGCAAAAGCCAAATTTGGTGCAGCTATTTTGTTCACAGAAGTGAGACGGGGAAGGAGGTGAGTAGGGGGCAGCCTAAGAATTTCAACTCTTGGCTCCTGGGCCAGGTATTAAATTCCTTGAGCCTCAGTTTCATCATCTGTAATACATGTGGTGGGGAAGACCTATCTCTCAGGGTTAGTGCGCGAGTTAAGAGGGACACATACAGTGCGTAAAGCACCCAGCTCTGAGCCTAGCTGGTTAGAGCCTAGCTTGTTACAGAGAAGAAGGTACTTACTGGGAAACACGGTCCTTTGCTGGTGAGGAAAACAGTCTTGGGAGTTCAGGCTGACCAGGACTCCAATTTTGCCTTAGTTTCCTACTTTCTCCCTAAAATAAAAAGAATCACATTATACACAAATATATATTTATATGCATAAATAAATAAATACGAATTTGGCCTCCATTCTGGACACCATACACTGAGATAGTAGTGAGTTACTTCTATACATAGTAAAAGTCTCCATTATCTTGGAAATTACAATCTGGTAGAGAAACAGAGATAACAAAGGGGATAGTGATGTGGTATATGAAGTTCTGAGATGGACAATTTCAGGGTTCAATAGAAATGCATGAGAGGTCGATTCAACCTGGTCTTGGAGTGTCAGGGGAGGCTCCTTGGAGGAAGGGACTTTAAAGGTGAGCACTGGACCATGAGTAGGCAGGGTCCAGGCTGAAGTAGGTATGGAGAAACAGGAAGGGGAAAGAGGACTCAGGCCTAAGATGGTTGAGGAGGTAAAATATGACCATGTATGTGAATTAATATAGTGCCCCAGCAATTTGAATGTGTTCAATAAATGGCAGTCATTTCCTTATATTAGAACACTTGAAATACATGTATTTCTCTAAGTGCATTTCCAGCTTCAGAATGAATGCTCTCCATTCACTCTCAAGTGTTTTTCTGAATCTCACCAGCATTATTTTATATAAAACCTTCTGAAGACCCACAACTGTACTCTGATTGAAGTCTTCGAGCAGCGGCAGAAAGGATGCCCATCTTCCCTTCCTCACAGACAGTAAGAGGCAGAGAGAGCAAAGCCTCACTAAGTGAAGGCAACAAAGGATGTCAGTCTTCTGAGGCTGCAGAAATACATTCAAAGCTCCCTTCACCAGTGGTTCCATTACTTTTCAGTTCATCTAAGAGGAAGGGAAAACCTAGAATTTCCTAATAGTTAAGTGATCAGAATCATATTCACTTTGCAGACAAAATCTAGTGGTGCCAGGTCTTGCTTCTGCTTCTGCTCTCTTGGCAAGTGGCCTGCATCTTGACGTATCTTTATGATGCTTCAGAATAATTTCTCCTTGAATCTGATTCTCCACACACACTGGATTATTAGGGAAAGATAATGTTCAGTTCTGAGGATAACCTCTTAAGAGAGATATGAACAAAGTGAAGTACATGCGCAGGAGAAGGTCCCAAAGTGTGAAGAGCCTTGGGACCACGTTAAATAAAACCAAACACCGGGCCACTTTGCCACCTTGCACGGAAAGGGTTACTAATGGAGCTGCTTTCTCTGTTAGGTTGTGCAGAGAGGGTATACAGTGAAGATATCATACTAAGTTTCAGAATCCTGTGTCATTAAAAATTAAGGTGAAAGCTTTCAGCCAAACCAAGTTTGAAGTCGGAAAGTCTTATAAAACTCTGTTGGTGAAGATGTAGAGCACTGATGCTCTCATCCACTGCTGGTGGAAGTGTAAACTGGTACAATTCCTTTGGAAAATGGATTCTCTGGGAGAGGTGAACATATACATCGTTGGTGCATCCTAGCATTTCCCCTCCTGGGGAATTTTATGCCCCAGATCATATATACAAGAATGCCTGGAGCAGTAGTGTTCATAATTGCTCAATGATGGAACAAACCCAAATGACCACCAAAAGCAGAAAGGATAAATGGGTTGTGCTATAGTCACACAATGGAATACTATACAGCAAGGAGGAAAATACATTATAGTTATAGGCAACAACGTGTAACTATAATGTACAAAAAAGACAAGTTCAAAATAACACATATTGTGTGACTGCATTTATTTAAAGTTCAAAACTAAATCAACTAAATTACGATATTACGGATACCCAAATATAAAGGCAGGGAAATCAAGGAAGTAATTATAACAAAGTCAGGATAGTGGGGAGGGAGGATGTTATGCTTGGGAAGGGACATACTGGAAACTTCTGGGGTCTAGCGGTGTCCTATTGCTTGACCCAAGAGATGTTGTGCGTTTCTTTTATAATTATTTGTTAATTACACATTTATGTTTTATCTAATTTCTTTGTGTGTAAAAAATGTAAGAAAAACCTTTTATGATCTTTTGAACAAATGGTGGCCTGTTGAGCAAATCATTAATAAAATCATTCTCTAATGAACTTCCAGAGAGAAAACTATTCTCAAAGAGCCTCTGTTAAGAGCTTAAATTATCTCTAAATTCAAGACCTTTGGACACAACTGGTTTTGCTATAACCAGGAAAGGCTTCTTTCCAGATAAAGCAGATAATCTGGCTCTAATTCTCTGAAAATCAGGTTGGAGGGCTGGAAGGAAGATCTGTCCTCTTTGATAACCTGTTGCTGATGAACAAAATAAACTGGTGGGATCTGGTATAGACTAGAAAGCCAGTGTGTTTCTGAAATGAAGGTAATTGTTTCCAGAAAAACTTGGAAACATTAACCAGAGTCCCCAGGGGAGGGCTGCCTGATAGATTATGTTTTTCCTTCTTACTTATGCAGTTTCGGAATAAAACCTGAGATGTGCCTTGAGTTTCATTCTCTTCTACATTAAAAATCTATTAACCAAATAAAATAATATAAAAAACTACAATAAATGAACACGTGTTGTACAGTTTTTATTACTCTCACTGAAGACTTCATGGCTTCATTACTCTAAGTGGATAGAAATGTTCAGGCCCAGGTTATTGAATACTAGAGTTATTCCATTTGGAAACCTTTTAAAATATACATAGGTTAGCATCTTACACTTTTGATATAGTCACATTTATATACAAATTTCATGTTTACAAGTGCAAAACGCTATGAAATACAAAGAATCGAAACAACCATAATCAACTATATTCATCATACATAATATTGTTATCCCTGTCCTCTGTTTTTAAATTTTAAAGGAAAATGGTAAATGTCATTGCATAGGTAGACTCTGCTCTTAGATGCTGGAAACTGTATGTAGTTCTGCACATATCTGAGTCCCTACATAACTGAGGCTCCATCGTGTTCCAGATCAAGTTGGCCAGAAGAAAATCATCCATTGCTGGAGTTTCATTGCTAGTGAGGAACAAAATCCCTAAGTTTTCAAAACCAGTACTCATTATCTGTGTTCTAGCAATTGGACCTTGCTTTAGTAGTGAAGATCCCCTCTGGCTGAGTTTCTGAGTCAGATGAATTAGAACTCATGGAAAAGCATTTCAGAGTGTTTCAGAATACATACATCCCAGAGGCAGACGAGGGCTACTGTCTAACTAGAGGTTTAGGCCTGTCTGTGGCTACATGTCAAATATTTCTAGGTCCAGAAAGTTAGAATCTCCTCTACAACTGTAGGTCGGAGGAGAGGTGTCTGCAAACATATTGGCAATTTGGGTTTCTACGTCCTGTGAGTCCAAAACTAGTCCACTGTTCATGTTGTAAAGTTTGCTCTCCAGTTTGAGTTTGGTGTTTTGAGGCTGAAAAGACCTCTTTGATATAAACATTGATTCTGGGATTCCGTTGGGTCAGATAGTTGCCGTGTGCTGGGTCCAGCATTCATGTCAGGACAGACTTCGATTATTGAGCGTCTGACCATGCTGATGACTTGACAAGGTAATGGTCTTATTTGACAACTTCTGGTTGTGCCTGGAGCTTTCCACTTTCCTTTCCCTGAAGATTCCTATGCTCTGCAGGGATCTCACAGGGATCTCACTGCCCCTGGGATAAACGTGTGACTGTAATGAAGCTCTACTGGCATCAGGACCGCCACGTGGATGCCTGAAGGTCTTGCCATAATCCTTGGAAGTTCTTTCAAGTCTCATTCAGTCCCAGAAGAATTGCTCCATTTACATTTATGCTTCGTGTCAGCATGCATTTTCATAAAGGGTTCCTAGGGCATACTTCAAGGGGATGACAGTAGAATTTGCAGTTTTCAAATCTTTTCTTATGGTTGGATTGTCCTGTAGATGGTGGCTCTTTGCCAAGTGCACACTGAGCAGAGCTGCATACAACACAGAGGGTCACAGGGTGTTGGTCCCGTGGGGCTGGGGCGGTGCACTCAGCACAGGCTGGAGCAGCCCCTTAGCGGCCCTCCACCCCCTCAGAGCCCCTGGGGCTCCTGGAAAATAACCTTTGACCCTCACTCCCTCTATAAACAATGAAGAGAACACTTAATTAGAAGAAATTATTTTAGGAGTTAAATATTCCATTTCCTTCAAGCCTCCAGGCAAAGTAACAGTTTTCAGGAAATAAGGAGAATAGAGAAACATGTTAAATATGTTTTTCCATGGGAAAGCAATCGGCAAAATCCAGATTGTGGGAAATTACAGCCCAAATGACTTGATTTCCTCAATAAATTGTAAGAAAAGAAAAAGAAAACAAAATTAAAAAAGACTTTAAAGCATATCAACCAAATGTGATTTATGGGCCTTACTTGTTTGTATCCTAGTTTGAATGTATCAACTATAAAATAAAACAAAGACTAAGAGAATATTAATAAGAGAATCAGGGAAATTTGAATATGGCCTGGATAGTTGATGACATTAAACAACTATTATTAATTTTGTATTTAAAAAGTTCCATTTCTCCAAGGCCTGTAGATCAGATTCACATTGGTTTAGATATTTACTACAAACACACACACATACACACATACACACACACACACAAATAAACCAATGTGTTAGGACTGAATTGTGTCTGCCACAAATTCTTGTCGGAGCTCTAAGACCCAATGTGATTGCACTTGGAGATAGGGCCTTTAAGGAGGTAAATAAAGTTAAATGAGATAAGAGTGAGGTCTTAAAAGGCTTCCTTCAAGCGTGATAGGAGCTTCCAGAGCAACCTTTTATCTAGGGTTAATTTTGCTTCATTACTGAGGTAACAAATTAGTACTCTGCCTGATGCCCCCTGTGTTATGAGGTTTCCCCTGGCTGATGGGTACATGAACTGTCTGCAGCCCTTATGAGCTCTAGAAGTTTTCCACCTGTTTCTTTCTGATGGTTTTTTTTTCTGGCCTCTGGTATTTTTTCTCATCAGTCTGTGCCGAACAGTACTTGGCTGCAGACTCCAGGCAGAACTCTGCAGGTTTTTGGAGTTCTCTTTCTCTCTGTGCAGCTCTCTCCTTTCTTCTCTTCTGCCTT